TTTGTGCTTCTATGAAACTACTGTTTATTTCGAGTGTTCTTAAACTTTCCCTAGTAGTGCTTGTATTGTATTCTATACTCAATTTTGCTCTACTTGTTATTTTTCTTTTTGTCCGTTCTGGTGCAGAGGATCAGTGGGAAGAGTTACCAAAACAAAATGAGCACAACTTAATTTCTGTAATATACAATATGTAATAAGTTCTTAAGTTCTTAATTAATAAAAATTACAGCATATAAGCAATTTACCAAAAAAAATAAAAAATAAAAAAATATACATGTGGCTCTCGATATAACAGAGGCCATGGTTCTAGTCCTTTGCTCCATTATATCAAAAGATCCGTAATATCTAAATTTCATAATATATCAGATATTATAATAAATCATAATTTGGTTCCATTATAATTCTCCGTATTAAGCAATATCCATTATATTGATAGTCTGTTATATCAAGAGCCATGTGTATATATTTATAGTATGTTAAATAATATTTATGTAAGGGTGTGGCGACTTAGTGAAGTGGTGGAGTTGTTGCACCCCAGACAGAAGGTCTAAAGTTCGAATCCCATGGACGACGATTTTGAAAAATACTAGATCTGTATTGGCTAACGTTAAGATTATCAGTTGGATCCAGATATCGGTAATCTTAGTCACACCATCTCGAATGGGAGCTTTGGCGCAATAAATCCAGGAAACCAGAATTACCAAAAACTCTTTTGGCAAGTTCTGAGTTGGGAGTAGCAGTGATCTTCGACGATGCTACAGGAAGACTGAATTTGGAACCAGAAACTGAGACTGGAGAACCGAGCGACCAGGTCCTTGAAGGGGGACATACCAGCCGAACTGACAGGTCACCAACTGGAGGAAAAGGACTTGTGCTCTGAAAGCATGTACCAAGGGAAGGGAGACCATAAGGTACCTAAAGCCTGGGCAGACTGACCCTTCCAGGTTGCCGGCTGGAAGTAAGGGAGGGACTTGTAAGGAATCCAGGAAAGAAGGAAGTTGGAATGTGAGTACTGGGGTTGTTGTGAACCTTGCAAGGACAGGAGTATGTAAGTGGAAACTAATTAAGAAGGTTGTGGCTTGAGATACGAACCGGGTTATGGCAGTATCTGAAATGATAGCTTGAGATACGGACCCGGTAGTGGCAGCACAACATGTACTAGTTGGGGAAAAGTTACCAAATACGCAGGTGAGTACATGTGTGAGACATGTACCATTCTGTTAGATTTACCACAAGGACAAATGCCTGTATATGGCTAAAGTCTTAGGGTCTTTATATGGCATTGCTAATTTCTTAAGGGTGTTAGGGTAAAGCGTGTTACAGAAATATAAGCCAGAGGATTTAAATGGGTATCCCCCATAGTTGGGTGCAGGTGTGGCAGCTAGTGTGGAACCTAGGGCAGCCTACTTAAATAGGTAACCAAAAGTTGCATGTATGGCTAGTCATACTCTCGTTAGCTAATAATCAGAGAGCTTAAATAGGTAATTTTCTAGTTAGGTTGCAGGTATGGCGGCTAGTGTAGAGCCCAGGCAAACTACTTAAATTAGATACCAAAAGTACATGTGTAGCTAGTTGTATCCTCATGAAATTGATGTAATATTGTATTTATCTGAATAAAGCTAAGTGCCGAGAACCTAAGTGGTCACCTTAATATTAAAAAAAAAAATAATAATAATATTTATGTGATTAATTAAAATTTTATTTTTTTTTTAGCTAAAAAATTATTTTAATTGCAAAAAAAACTATAGTAGTAATTACACTTTAACTATTCATCAATATCTTGGCATTATACAAGACTCTAAAACAAAAAACTATATAATAGTTATAACATTTGCACAAAATAGAGACCTACATTATTTTATAAATAAAACAAATACTCTATCTTGGTTAGAAAAATTAAAACTAATACATACAATAATAGATGAACTTGATTAGTTACACTCATTATTTAAACTTATTCATCGTGATCTTTATAGTGATAATATTCTTATTAACAAGATAGCTAAACCAACAATTGCAGATTTAAAAATAAGCAAACTAATGAATACATCATCAGATAAGAATACAGTCTATAGAGTTATTCTGTATATTGCACCAAAGATATTAAAAGGAGATAAATTCACTAAAGAGTCGAATATTTATAGTTTTGGTATGATTATATAGAAGGTAATAAGTAGTTGTAGACCATTTTCTGATCATAAATATGATGAATATCTTATTTTGAATATTCTTGATGGTCTTCATTCCAAAATTCTGTTTAACATTCTACATGATCTGGTAATTTGATAGAGAATTGTTGGCATTCTGATCTAGCAAAAATATTGTTTACTTATGCAACATCTAGTTATTAATATCAATGTAAACTTGATGAACTTATTTATAAAATTGAAAGAAGAGAAATAAAATTTCTCAAAAATAAAGATTTGAATACATTAACTAGAAAAATAAATGAACAAGCAATTTATTCTAGCTAACTTTTAAATTCATTAATTAGTGAAGCATTAACTATACAAAATTTGAAATTAAATTGTGATAGTAAGTAAACATATTTTATTGAGATAATGCATATTTTCTTAAGCATAAATATATTATTAACTGTATTTTAAATTTTAAATATTTAAATATAATAACATTAATACAATAATATAATTGTACATTAATAAAATAGATAATTCTAGAGCAATTGATTTTGATATAAACAAACTAGAATGAAATTTATTAAATAAAATTATCAGTAAGCATTCTTATTTTAATGTAGCTGCTTATCATGTTTGCATAATTTTATTAAAACATGTACTTAGAAAATGTCTGAAATGTAATTCTTCGAATTAATTTTATTTTTTACTACAGTGGCAGGAAGTAAATCACTGGAATTAATAAAAATTTATTAATAAAATATAGTAAAAATTAAAATTTTTATTATATATAAATTTTTTTTAAATAATTTTTTAAAAATATATTGGTTAATACAAAATTAAATTCAATACTTAAAGTTTGTAAAAAATATTTTTTTAGATTTTTTAAAATTTTTTTACAAGTTATATTCTCATTGAGAAAATCAAAATTATAAATTCCATAAGTAATATTTATATTAATTATAGGAATTTGTAATTTTGATTTTCTCAATAAGAATATAACTTGCAAAAAAATTTTAAAAAATCTAAAAAAATATTTTTTACAAACTTTAAGTATTGAATTTAATTTTGTATCAACCAATATTTTTTTAAAAAATTATTTAAATAAATTTTATATATAATAAAAATTTTAATTTTTACTATGTTTTATTATAAAATTTTTATTAATTCTGGTGATTTACTTCCTGCCACTGTATTGTTGGAAAGAGCCTTGTTGAGGTGAAATATATTGTTGGGGTGAAGAGCCTTGTTGGAATAGAAAATGTTGCTAGGGCAAAGAGCCTTGCTGGAGTAGGTGTTGTTGGAGCAGGAAGCCTTGGTGGTGCAAATGTTGTTGAAGTGAAAGATTTTGTTAAATTTGGATTATTTCACTATTAATAAAAATATATCCATTAGCTTTAAAGTTCTCAACTTTGTAGCCTTCAAGTTGATTGTAATTGAAAATTAAATTTTCATCTGATTCATTACTTGAAACTAAAATACTACAACATTTAAAGGAATGTTTGATAAGTTGGGTATCAATGGAGTCCCATACATGTTGAACCTATTCTGCAATAACATTATATAGTGGATGTTTTATTCAACTAGCTAGTATTAATTCTCTTATCTTTTACACTATTCATTCATTGTACATAGACCTGATCTATTAATAAATATATATAAATAAAATAATAAGTATAAAACTATATACAAAAATAAGATTAAAACCTTTGCTTTAAAAGATTTGTTCATTATCAAAGAAAACTCAATCTGACGATCACTTGGTACAAAACTAGCAAAAGGCAAAAAGTAAACTCTACACTAGAAAGAAGCGACAAACACATCAACAAACTCAGCAGAACATAGAAAAAGGCTTTAAACACAGGCCTGTACCAGATTAATTACTTGGTAGTAGTCTAAACAAGTGAGAAAAACAGTATTTCTCGATTAAAGGAAGCGCACAGTGACAAAACTTAGGCAAACTGGAGTTCAGCTCAGTATAGGCAACAAAGCTATATCAGTACAGTAAAAGAAAGCTAAACTAATTGTAAATTATAACACATCTTCAGTCCGAAGAAGCAAAGCAGTCAAATATCTTAGTATAAAGCCAAAACTCAATATTTTTGTATATTTGGAAAAATAGCATCAACCCTGTAGCACCGATCTTTGGTATAACACAATTACCACAAATATCGACACGCAGCAACATAGAAGCTTCTATAAAAAATTACACGTGAAATCATGTTAAAAACATGTAAAAACACATACGACACATACTGAGTTGAAATTACATAATTTTACTATAGAGTAGCTATAGCAATAACTGTTAATATGAGTCACGTGCACAAAATGAATACTGAACAGCCAGAAGTCACAGAGATAGACTGGAGGCACAAGATAAACAAGTACAAGAACATTTTTAAAAAATCAACAGATAATTTTAATATGCTCAAAGAGAAGCACCTAGTAGAATATCTTGGAAAAGACAATAAAATAGCGGCTTTTGTAGGAGCTGAGCCACAACTAATATGTTTGTTCAGGTGTTTAATTGAAACTTATAACTGGTTAGAGTATCTGAGAATTAAAAATGGGGAGAATGCTTGACTAATAGACCTAATAGACTCAAATAAAAGCGAAAAAAAAGGGAGATATTAGTTAACCAGGAATGCGACACGTTAGATTATGGTATACAAGAGAAATTAAAGTCGCAACAGTACAAAACTAATATCCAAAAAAGAAAAAGAAGTGCAAGCCCAATAGAAAAGAAAAGGGAAATCAAGAAAACCTGCAAAAAAGAAGAAGATATAGTCAAAGTATTCAACACATCTAAAGTACACAATATAGAATTATGGCCTGTTAAATCTACTAATGTGGATACCC